CAAGTTTCAGCTTTTCTAATTATCAACTAATTCTTTCTATTGCTTCTAACTTTTCTACATACAGAGCAGGACTCTTTGATAACTTGTAACTTTGGGCACTGACCCCGGAGTGATGCTCCATCTAGAATTTCTGCAGGAGCATCCCCAATGGGCAGCAAAGCCCACTTACTTCTAGTTTGGATCCCTAAAATTCAAACTATGAAACAGAAAGTAATTTTCCACACACTGGAAATGATACATTTTTCATGCGTAAATTTCCTACCGTTGCCTGCCTACCAGCTCCATAATTTACCCACTCCTCTCGGATGTGAACCCCTATTAAACCACATGGCCCTCACACGGGGCTGTTTTTTTTCCCCAGCCAGTCCAATTGCTTTAAAAAAAAAATGCAGCAAGGCAAAATGGTAGTGGGAGCCATTTCATCACCTCAGAATGGTGTTGCACCATCCTATGATCAGGATAATTGCAGCTATTGCTGAGTCAGTTTAATATGGATAAAAGGGGATGTGACTTTATAATGCCTTGGTAAGACCACACTTGGACTGGGGGTTGGGACCTCTGGATTAGAAGACTGGAGGCGAAAGCATACAAAGGACTTGCTCCAACCCTGGAGGTTTTTAAGAAGAGATTGGACAACGATTTGTCTGAAATGGTCTTGGGTTTCCTGTTTGAGCAGACGGTTGGACTAGAAGACCTCTAAGGCCCCTTCCAACTCTATTATTCCGGGTAAAGGGAAGTACTTTGTGTTATGGTTATGATTATTGGAGGGGTGTTGTTGCTATATCTCATTTGTCTGAATGATTGTACTACCCAAGGAGCTTCCTAGCCATCTCTATTAAACTTGATCCGCTTTTTCAAACCTAGTTATCTTTTCTTATGCAGCCACTCAGAATGCAAGGCAGGATGAATCTTTTGTTTCTCTGTGTCATTCAAGTGCCTAACAGAAGAAAAAAAAAAAAGTCTATATTTTTCATTTACCAAAAGAGCTTTTTGGTATAATCTTCATTTCTAATTACACAAACAGGGCAGAGCTATTTTCTCCTCACTGGTAGGCTTTCTTCCAAATCAGCTCTAAAATAGCTCTTTGTTTCAACAAATTCTTTGCCGATCCATATTAATGCTTAACAGTGTAACATGACCATACATGGTCACTTAAAAGAAAAAAAAACACCCTAAACCCTTTGATAAAACAACAAAAGAGGCAAGTTGTTAAGAAGCCCAAAACGATGGTAACTCTTGCAGAATATTTAACATGAGGTCACTTATTAAATACCAAAGGCACTGTTATAAACAATAACTGTGACTTTCAGAAAAATGGAATTGATGAAATCTTTTTTAGATTTCAAACAGCAGACAATAGAGTGCATTCTGCTGGGTTTTTTTTATTATTATTTAAGCAATTTTAGTCTCTTGGACAAATTCGCTGCCAACGGAAGGCTAACTTTTTGGGGTTTAAAGGCTTGGCAGAAATTATTTTCGGAAATTCTTCTCTAACTTCAGTTGGATGATTTCTATTAATTTCTCCAGGGGGGAGGAGAAATTGTCCAATAATATATCAAGGGAAGGAGTCTCCTTTAACGGTGTTACTAAACAGAAGGACCCCCTCCTCCCTACTTGTAAAGGTGACAGAGAAATATCCTTTCAGACTTGCAATATCTACTCACAGCATCCTTTCTCTGTGAGTATGTGTATGTGTGTGGGAGAGAGAGAGAGAGAGAGAGAGAGAGAGAGAGAGAGAGAGAGAGAGAGAGAGGAGAGAAGTAATAGAGAGAGAGAAAGAGATAGAAAAGAGAGAGAGAGAAATCTCAGCTCAGTTTTAGAGGCCCATAAATGTATGTTTAAAAAAAGTCCTTGTAGGTAAGATTGGCCCCACTAGACCAATCTACTGACTATAAGTTGAGTTAAGTGGAAAGGACAATTCTCCAGACCACCCACATGTTGTCCTGCCTCTCTGTTTTCATTTTTGCTTTTTCAGAGGGATTAGTGCTAAACACCACAGCTTTTCAGCCTCACCAAAAATGAATCTGAAGGGTGGGGGAATATCAATTCTGAGTGAAGTGAAAATCAGTCTCTTAAATCTGCAAAGTGAGCTGTTTATCTTACAAATTTATTCTTTTTTATTGGTCCACACATATCCCAGGCAGCAAGATAAAAGAGAGATGTCTAACAAGCTGTCATTAAGAGTGACATCTAGCAAAGCATAACTAGTACTCTTATTCCATAGGTTTATCTGGAGTGGCTGGTTAGTTTTAGCTATCTGTTGATCTGCATTTTTCCACCCTCTCCCTGCTGTATAATGTTTATAGAAACTGCAAACAAAATAAAAGGATCCTTTCACACATTTGTGTTTTTCCACTTCATACGTGCCGTCTTAATTGTGCACAATTCAGAGTATTTTCTTCTCTTGAATTTTGTTTCCTGTTGAGTGCTGTGCGAATAATATGACAATTAAAGTTTCTTGAGGAATCCAACAATATACAATAGTTCGTGGTCGCTTCATGGTCCACATGGATTCTAAGTTGCATTACTGTTAAATGCTGTAGAGACTTTCAGTGTTTCTATTCATGCATCTTTCCAGCTTGCTAACATCTACAATGTGTTAAAATTTGCTGGAATGTCAAGCAGAACATTCAGAGAAATTTCTTCTTGTATTTTTTTTATTCAGTTGTTTATTATTTTCAATAATTTGCCTCCAGAAGTTGTGAATGCTCCAACACTGGAAGTTTTTAAGAAGAGATTGGACAACCATTTTTCTGAAATAGTATAGGGTTTCCTGCTTGAGCAGGGGGTTGGAGTAGATGACCTCCAAGATCCCTTCCAACTCTTCTACTCTACTCTACTCTACTCTACTCTACTCTACTCTACTCTACTCTACTCTACTCTACTCTACTCTACTCTACTCTACTCTATTCAAACAAAAAGCAAAGCTTCAAAGTCCAGGGAATATCCACATTGTGTGTGATTTACTGGACAGATATTTTAACCATTTTTCACCTCTCAGAAACACACATGTATTTACTTTATTGACTATCAGGGAAATACATCCCTAAAATTCACATATATTTTTCCTTGAGTTTTTTTGTTTGTTTGTTTCCCCTTCACTGTGGTTTGCTGCAGACTTTCTGCTCCTTCCCACACATATCTGTTTGTGCACTGATTTGATTTGTCATAGTTTATTTGTTTGTTTGTTAGGTTTATTTACCACTTATCTTGCCATGGGGCTACCCTAGGCAGCTTACAATGATAACAAGGAAGAAATGAAAAGAGTGTAAACAGAACAGAAGTAAAATAATGGAACCATACAATGAACAATGGAAAAGAACACAATGAAAATATATCAATAACTCTCTTTTCCAACCCTGTAATCCCTTAATTCGGGACTGAGTCAGGGCAACTGGATGGAGTTGTGTGTTTACTGGCTGGATGCCCTTCCTTGGGTCAGTCACTTCCTCTTAGCCCAACTTACTTCACAGGTTTGTTTTTTTGGGGGGGAACCACAAGAGGATGGAGCAATATGTATATCATCTTGGGCTCCTGTTCAAAAGGGAAATAATTCTAATAAACAGAGTAATAATACATATGTTTGCAGCTAAAATAGCATATTTGCAGCTATTTCCGATCTTTTGCACATCATACGCATCTTTCTTTCCATATTATGGAACTATGCAGTGTTAATATGTATTAAACCCTGATGACATTTCACAGAACTGTCATGATACCAAGGATTCTAGGTTTATTGGTGTTTTTTTTTTTTTGGCTCTTCTTTTCCATATTTCCTGTGTTCTCTGTCTTTGTCAGCCTCTGATTGTTAAATCTCATAAAGTCAGAGGTATATCGGGAGTCAAATCATTTACTGTGGGTGATGTGGATTCCCCATTTTAGGGTGAGTTTGAGTAGAGGCTGGAGAAGGATTCTTTCAATAGAAGAGAATATTTTTAGCTGAGGTTAAACTGTGGGGGTCTTTGGTGCTTTCTGAGCTTGGTTGTTTGCCTGTAGATGCATTGCCCAACTCGGTAACATCATCACTGCACTGCTAACTATGATAACTAAGGTACCTCAGTCCAGACAGTTTTTCCTAAGCCAGCTTTTTCTGAAAGTGGCATCAGGAGAGAACAAGAACAGTTTAAGGGTACGGTGCAAATAATTCCAGTGTGGAAGTTATCTGAGATAAAGCTGTGGGTTCAAGCTCTTTTTTGCCTCTTGGAGGCAGAATGAAGTAGGAATAATCGTGTGACACAGTTAAATTGTGATGGCATCTCGCTCTAAAGAAAAGAATAAAAGAAAAGCTGTAACTTGGTATAATTTATGTGACAAGTTCCCACAAACATTGGGTAGAGTCCATTTAATGGGTGAACAGTTTTAAATCTCCTTGATTTCATTGTGAAAGATTTGCACATCTGCTTAGTCTTCTATTAAAACCAACAGTACTTAATGAATTAAGCAAAGGCTTATATTTAAAAGTGCTTAATTTCCTGTGCATTACGCCTAATACCATTAATATTAGTAGTATCAATTGTAGTAATGTTCTTACCGCTTTCTTTAGTCTTCAAACTTCTGAAAGGGATGCACAGCTTGGCTTACATACGCCTGCATATTAACAGTCGAGCAAATGCAAGAAAGGGGGGGGGGACTTTTCTGGAAAAAAAAACAGGAAAAGTTTTTTGTGTTTTTCTTTTTTTTTTAAGGATGAGAAAGTACTTAATAGGAATGAAGCAAAAGAAGAAATCAAACCAGCTGCTGACACAGCTGTTTCTTTTCTTGTCTTATTCAGTTCTGTATAAAGGTACCATATGCTGCTTAAAAACGATGATGGGAAAGATGAAATAATTTAAGAGAATAACAAGAAAATACATGAATTGTCAGCATTCTGTCAGATTTAAAAGAATGAAACAGACAGGTGTAGTATTGACATGTTTCGCTTTGTGTTGCATTAGCAGTTTGAGTGAGAACAACTTCTTGACATGTGCTGAAGTGATGTGAGAACACTCTCTCTGTTTCAGATGTTGGAGAGGAAGTTGGAAGATCTGCTGGCGTCCAGCAACCATCATTACTCAGAGATAGGAGCCTTGGGTCTACCATGAAGGACTGTCCCTACTGTGGGAAAACATTCAGGACATCCCATCACTTAAAAGTTCATTTGAGGATACACACAGGTGAGGCTTCCTCATAAAAGTGTGATACCTTTATACAGAAAAGAAAGGAATGCATACGAAGTACAGAGGCTCAGGGACTAACCCACAAGAACTACATTCATGTTCTTCTTACTATCATTTAGTAGGTGGCACACCAGGCCCTGTCATTAGGTGGGATGAAGAAAAGTGAGATGGGGGAAGGCCAAAACATAACCTCTCACTCTTTCAACCCATGGCCAGGTTCATGAACTTCTTGTTGTAAAGCTGTCAGCTTTGCAATCCAAGAATTCTCTGATGTCAGCTGATGGTTCTTTGAGGCTGAGTTCTTTATCGTTTCTCACAGAAGGACAAAAATCTTGCCAAATGGAGCATTCTATTATCAACAATATACTCTGTGAACTATTAGGGAGAAGCCACCTTCACCTTCTTTCTCTCATACATAATATCTGGGCTGAGTTGCTTCTTACATTTTTGGAGTACACTTCCATCCTTCCCTCCGGGAAATCCACATCCTCAATCCATTCCATTATATCTTTTTTTTTTCTAGATCAAGGGGCCAGTCCATCTCTCTCTCTCCCTTTGTTAATTTCCTCCTCGTCTTCAGCAGCATTGACCCTTATTGCCTGTACCAAGGACCAACTGTCCCCCATTTATGCCATTCTGCTGCAGCCAGATCACAAGATCACAGGGGAGTGGGTCACCTTAACAAGGGATATTATTTGGACAGAAGGTTTAGGAGAAGAGGCAGCTGAGCTGGAAGGCAGGGTTAAACTTGTCATTAGTTCATTGCGTTGCCACAGGAGACCTAAGTCCTGCCCCGTAAATTCCATTGATCCTTATGTAGTGCCATCTAGATTAATGTCAGGTGCAAATAACCAGGAATATCCATTGAGTTCAAAGCACATAAGAGTTTATTATTGCTATCTTTAATACAAGAATCTATTCAACTAATGGTTAAAGCTAAATTGGTGCTAGAAAAGCTCAAGATCAGCCTTCTCTTCTCCTGCAAAAATGTCTACTAGTGCTGGCTCAACGTTGATGTGTTGAGCATGAGTTGTCTTTGGGTATTCTAAATACATAACTTAGATAAGCATTGTTTCAGATATCAGTCTCCCCCGTTACTATAAATTTAAGAGGACCAACCTCCCTTTCACTGAAATATTGAGACTACTCAAATGTTCTCAAATATTTGAAAGATCTATCTATGTTGATTTTCTTAAATTTAATACAAAGGGACAATCCTTGGTTGAAAAGTTGTGTTTTTCGATAACAATGTGCATGCACATTTCTGCATGCATGGAATTTCTATTTGAATTATCAAATAGATTTTTTAAAAATATTTACAATGGTTCCATTTGTTCAGGCAGAGCAGCATAAGGAAGTGCTGTTAAATACCTCAAAAGCCCCATAATTCCCAGGTGTTTCAAAAGCAAACTATTTTCTTTTACATGTCCTTCTAATGTGGAACACTTTGTTTAAAATGAATTGTATTTTTGCAAAAACTAGAGTGTTTTTTCCCCAAACATCAGTGAAAGAAAAAAAAATACAAAACTAAAAGAAGTATATTTATTTTTTAAAGTATTTTAGAAATGGCAAATATTTATTATAACTAAAGGCCAAGAAGAACTGCTTATTCTGTGTTTGATTAATAGATGCACAAATGTCTTCATTGTTCCTCTGTTTAGAAAACGCATGAACATAACAAAACATTCTGTGTTTGAGAACAAACATGTGCAAAGAATTAAATAATTGCTACATAAGTTGGAAGGTGATATGGAGATAAAGAACCAATGGATCAGAATCTCAGGGCTATCTGCTGCAAGGTTTAAATACCAGAATTTTCCCCCCTCAATTTTGTAATTCCATTAGAATTTTAGAATTAGAACAACATTGTGTGTTGTAGAAATGGAAAGAAATAGTAGTGCACCCAAGCATGTTAATAGAATAAAGGACATATTAGGATGCTATCTTTTAAGTCAAAGTTTAATTTAACCCCCCCCCATATTGCATGTCAAAGCAAGAAAAACCTATATTCCACATGGAATTCATGGATTTAAGGTGGTTCAGAAAGGTGTGGGGTGGATAAGATGAAAACTTGACAATCTGTGGATGAAAAGGAAGACTTTTTGTTCTGAAAGTGCGGCTTTCACACTGATGATCTCTAAGAACAGAACTGAAAATTCAGATTGAATTTTGGTTCATTGAAATGAAAGTCATTCAAATCTGGATGCAACCAGCTTTGGAGAATTGTGAACCATCCTGGTTATGCACCTCAGAAAGTACGTATGGGGTTATATTTTCACAAAGCCAATAAAAGAACAAGATGACAGGGAGGGATACAATTATCTAAGATTCTGAGGAAATGGAA